CGAGACATCAGCGCCGCCGCCATACCGCAGCAGCAGCAGGTTGCCCCGCCGAGCCCCACGCTGCTCGCGCGAGGGCACGCCCCGCCGCCCTTCTGATGCACGCCGCCAACACTTTGCTGAAGCGAGAAGAAGAGAAAGAGGCCCGCCAGCCGACGCCGCCACCGCCATCACACACAACGGCTGGCGCGCCTCGAACCTCATGGATCCGGCGACAATAAGGGCGCCATGGACGAGAGCCACCGCCACCGACGCGCCAGCGCCAGCCAGCGCTGCTGCCGGAGATCATGCGATCCCGGTCTTGACCGCCGGATCCGATCGCCGACGCGAGAGACCGCCGTCGAAGACGCCGGTGCCGCCCCCAGCCTCAGCGACCTCGCCGAACCCCAGGAAGCCACACGCGAACTCGTCCTCGACCGTCGCAGCTCCCCCACCACTGAGAAGAGCCTCGCCGCCCCCCCCCCAGCAAGCCGCCGCACGCCATGCGGCCGTGGCGCCCGGCGGCGGGCCGCTGGAGAGAGAGGAGGAAGGAAGAGAGGCGCTAGGGTTTGGGTTCGCCTCCCGTGTCGCCTGCGTGGGGGCGACGCGGGGGCTAGGGTCCAAACATCTTATGAGGCTTTCAAGCACCCAAATGTAGTGGCACTTGTAGGATGGTGTTCTGATACAGAGAATATATATGTGGAGTACAACGGAAAATACATCTGGGCTGAGAAGTCAGAAAGGTTGCTTTGCTTGGAGTACATGCCTAAAGGAAACCTTCGTGGGTATCTTTCAGGTATAACAATTCAATAAAGGTGTATCATATCATGTTCTTCTTCTTTTTCATTTTCTACTGTAGATAATGTGGTTAGAGCATGTCCATTTTTCATTTAATGTAGCACTTTCAGAATTCTTCTTTGCAAATGCAGGTGAATTTTCCGGACTTGGTTGGGACACACGCTACAAAATCATTGAGGGTATTTGTTACGGTTTACGTTATCTCCACGAGGAATGGCAACTTAATGCCCCTATTGTTCACATGGATCTGAAACCTGCAAACATATTGCTCGATAACAATATGGTGCCGAAAATTGCAGACTTTGGCTTGTCAAGACTCTTCAGTGAGGAGAAAACTTGGACTCGCACAATAAGTCGCGATGGAACATTGTATGTCAAATGGCTCTTGATAGTTCATTCTTTCAAGGATAGCTAAAATGAATTGTCTTTACAGTTGTCCCATGGCTTCAAGGTTGACGCACTCATGTTGAAATGCAGGGGTTACATGTCCCCAGACTACATAAACAGAGGTCTAATCTCAACAAAGTCCGACATATTCAGTTTGGGTGTAATAATCATAGAGATAGTGACGGGAGGCAGGGACTACCCGGATGAGACTGGAACATCTTCCGATGAATTTATTGAGACGGTAAGAAAATTATATTTCAACTTTTAAGGCAGAGCCACTTTCTTAAGAAAGAGAGGGTGTTACTCTTTTTCCTCTGTGGTAATATTCCAGATTTGTGTGATTTTGCATGTGCTTAATAATTGAAGTCGAAGAAACAGGGTGGGAATTTTATCTGGGCATGTATCACTAGAAGTTGAGTATCAACAAATCAGAAGATGCATTCAGATTGGTCTAGACTGTGTGAAAATTGATCGGTTCAAAAGGCCAACAATAAGTGAAATTATCAAGACACTTCAAGGACCGGAAAGTGCAGATTCCAGCAATATAAAACGGGTAAGGTCACCAGCAGAGATGGTTTCAACATACAATCTTTTCTTTCTATACAGGGATGAACCCTTGATTGCACCAGAGAAATGATAAATAAAATACTATGTGATACATCTGTTTTCCTCTTGTTTAAATACAAGGTGAGTTTTCATCTGAGATTTGAGGGATGATGTTTAGTAGTCTTCCGTTCATTGCCGGCGCGTCCAATACTGCTAGCTTAGTACTAGAAGGCTTGGTAGTTCTAATTTGTAATTTCAACTTACCCAGGTAGATCGACCTCAATCTGGAAAGAGAGAGAATTTGTGGGGAAACAAGCTGGATGGAAAGGCCAACAAAGAAACACATCCCTGGTTTCTCTAGAGCCGAGACTTTCACTGCCCTGCACCACCAGTGGCAGAAGAAGACTGCTTTACGGCAGATTCGGGTTATCTTTACCACTGTGGTCTTTGTTGTCCTGTTGAAAAAACGAGGTATGTGTTCATGGGTTTTTCTTCTAGAGACAGGTGCTTTATAATAAAATTGAACATATTCACAAATTTGCAGCTGCGGCTATGTTCACTTCTTCAGTAATGCAGCGGCAGTCGTACCCGGACTGGCTGTTGGAGCTGGGCGTGGAGCTGGACCGAGTTTCATCAAGAATGGTTAGAGCAACTCCAGCCTATTATCTGGGCTGAACTCTAGGAGCTCTCAAAACAGAGCCCCTACTTGTCAATTCCCTCTATTTTCTCACACACTATATGTATATGTATTTGAGAACACCATACTATATAATAATTATTTAAACTGTAACTCTAAAGCACAATACTTAAAAATATGATTGAAAATACGAATATTAATAAATTCAAACACAAATTTGGTCTGCACATATTCTTAAAGCAACATAATGCACAAACACAATAAGACATGCATATCACAATGAAACATCTATCAAATTTCTCCTCCGCCACTAGCTTCATTTCCACCACTGCCACTATCGAAAGCACTGTTGAAGGCCACCGTCTTTTTAGCTGTAATTTGAGCCTTCATTGCTATCACATGTCTTCTAGGAGGGCTCTAATGTGTCAAGGTCACAAAACATAATCCTTTGTTCTTGCTCCCATAGCATCTTCTCCTCACTCTTGCGCTCTTCAAGTGATACCTTGCGCTCTTGCATCATCTTCTACATCAAGCACATCTATTGCTGTTGGTAGTGAATTGCTTCCCCTAGGCCTTTTGTTGTTGATTGGGGGCTTGAACTTCTCGCAATGTCATATGCATTTTGAGCTTCTAGCAACTGAAATCGAAGACATGTGTCAGCAAAAAATAGTAAATAAATGATGCAACATCCCAATAAAAACAATCCTAACATGTTCCTGGTAGGCACGCCGCTAGGATGGCAGCGCTCTACCTCCTCAAATAAGCCTTGAAACTTGTGGCATTCCTTGTGAATTGTCGCTCACCAGAAAAAAACTTCTATGCAATTGTGATACAGAGCAGTGCCTGTGTAGCACCTCTCAACTGCCGTCTATGTGTCTGTGGACCGGGTTGGGCTGCGTGGAAAATCAGGCGATGGGTTGTCATCTAGATCTAATAAGCATTTGCCGAGAGTAGAGAGATCATTCCATCCGCCACCGGCTTCAGTTTTGGCTTCAACAGACGACGCCATGAACTGACTGTGTTTTCTGTTCAAAATTTATGAACATTACCAATATTTCCTACATGGAACTATAACCATTTGCATATCGAACAATATCTACATAGTATGGCTGCCCTTAATGTGATGAAACAGACAAACACAAATCCAAGGAATAGTGCCATTATTTTTACTGGAAGTACTGGACACCTCAGGCCTCATGATGCTGTCACTTTGACCACTGAGCAGGCGACGGTGAGAACAAGGAAATTAGCCAAAGGAGATAACCGTATTGTAGGCCTATTTTTTTGAGCAAATTTGGCAGATTGCACAGAGGTTTGCAACATATCCTAATTAAAGCCTCTTCCATTGATTTGCTCTACATATTCTTTGGTAAGCCTTAAAATTTTAATGCTTGTTAGTTCTCTGTCGTTATCTTTGTACGCTCACAGTTTAGCGTTTCCCATCCGTAAGTTTTCAACTTTGGTCCAATATTCCTATCAGTCGAACTGAAAATAGGCCATCTCAGTTTGATCCCTCTTCATTACAGATTAATCCAAAAAAGAAGTAGAAGGTTACAGATCCTTTGTACCAAATTTACCATTTGATTAATTTTTTTCATTACATTTTGGTCTAAATCACTTTGTATCTATTTTATTTTCAGAATCTTGGTGTGGCACGACACATTGAACAAGGAATAGAAGATTAGAATATGTTGAAGATATAATTACGATTGCTACTTTCAAAATGTGTTTATTTACTTAGACCGAAGGTCTTAAATTAGGTGAAATATTTGGTTGATCCTCTGTATCATGGTCCAGACATACACCCTGTTCGCTTGATCGTATCAGCTATACTTATCAGTCATGATACAACGTTTTTCTCTCACAATAAAACATCATCAGTCGGCTTATAAACCACAAAAACGATCAAGCGAACAGGGTGATATATGCGTCAAACTGTTGCTACCATTGAAAGTCATCTTAAGACCCATATTGAAATTAATATGACAAATCCTCTACCAGCGAGCACTTTACTTTTTTGGGGATTAATTGTCATATAAGTAGACAGTGGCAATAGCACAAGAGAGCAAACACAACAAGAAGCTTCCCACGGATCAGCTCCCCAAGATCCAACTGACATCCATAGGCTGGTGCCCTTTGATGAGGGCGCGGCAAAAGCCACGCCTGGCTTTTTTTTAAGCATGGAAGAGCAAGAGCTCTCATTTTTACTCATAAAGTGACGTCAAATCTTTGACAATCAGTAAAAGAATACAACTAATTTTTTTCTTGCACGAGAATACAAGTAAATCTTTGGCAACCAGTAAACGAATACAAGTAAATCTTTGGCAACCAGTAAACGAATACAAGTTGTTGTTGTAAAAAAACAAAAAACAAATACAAGTTGGAATGTTGTCCTGAATCGGATCAGTAAACTCTAAACTATTGAGCAACCATATTACAAGAACGGGGATCATGAACTACTCCGTACCATACGCGCGCGCCTGGCTTTCTTCTAGCAATAATCAAAAGCAAACTTAAAAAAGAAAGAAAGAAAGCGACCAAAACAGATCCAAAAGCCGCACGCGATTTTCTTGCCACCGCGGGCCGCGGCCACCACTGGTGGGCCCAGACACCGGACCGCCACGCTCCTGCCGCCGCCGTTGCCTACGAGCCCAGGATGCTCCGCGGCGCCATCTCCCGCCTCGGCGCTCGCCTCCGCCTCCACGCTGACCCTTCCCCGGCCTGTCCTTACCTCCGCGCCCTCTCCACCCGCCGTGGCAAGCGCTCCTCCCCCACCGTGTCGCCCGCTGACTCCGATGATGAGGGACCCCTGCGCGGCCTCTTCGTGCTATCCCGCGACCCCGAGTGCCCGCCGCGGCTGCTGGTGGTGCAGCCGCGCCTCCGCCCCGGAAGCCTCCTCGACTCCAAGCTCGCCGAGGCACTCAACCTCGCCAACTCCCTCGAGGAGCCCCGCGACGGCTTCTACCACAGCGAGTTCGGCGCCAAGGGCGCGCCGCCGCACCTCGTCGTCCAGAACCCCGCCTCCCGCGGTCGCTCACACGCTGGTATCCAGCTATATACCTCACCATTTCTAGTACTTAGCTCGATGGCTCTAGTGGGAGTGTTTTGGTTTTCATATGTAGTTGGGTTAGTTTCTGTCACATTACGGATGTTTGGCCTTTCCCCCATTCACCATAAAGTGAGATTTTGTGAGAATTGCCCGAAATCCCAGTCTAAGCTCTACTACAGTAATGTGAGCGGGTAGTGACTCAATGCCTGCATTGTTTTTCAATCATTCATTCTTCTGTGTTAACCAACCGGAGGCTGGTTATATGGTTTGGGATGTAGTCTGCATTAGGTAGGTTAGGGACTTAGAGTATACTCCATAGTCACAAAGTTTCCGGGCGACAGGGTCAAAGTACGGGGTCGCGGAACGTGGTACACTACTTGCGAGAGATTTTTACACTTTGGGTCGAAAATGAACCTGCGAACCTGGGTCGGGTTGACGAACCCGGGTCGAGGTTGATGCCTTCGAACCCGTTTTATGTGACTATGGTATACTCTACTAGTGCACATAGGCTACGTTGTTGGGCTGAAGATGTACTTTGTGTTTTTTAAAAGGGATGGCCTGATGGGATCATTTTTGTTCTCTGTTGAGCTTCTCGAAAGTGACATGATATCTGTCTCGTGAGATTGCTTGCACCCTTTTTTTAGTGTTATTGTTGTATGAATTGGTGTACAATTTGCATTAGCGAAGTTACACAGACTGAGGTGGGACTTCCCACATGGCCTAGTGGTATTGCAAGTTCGTTTACTTTGCGTGTTGATAGATTCACTCTCCATAAAATCAAATATATGCTCTATGTAACAACTCATATTCTCGTAGAGGCTGCAAAGTTTTCTTCCCCTCTTTTTAAATTGCAGCCTGTTGCATAGTAGCTCTTAATTTTATCCTGCAGCTTGCCCATATGTAACCCAGAGTATGCACATCCTGGCATTGTATTTGATAAGATAGAGGGTTAAAATCTCGTGGTTCAGTTGGTTGGTTTGTGCAGTTCTGCTTTTGTATTGAACCATTGTTGCTGTAGTTCTCAAATTTTTCTTTAACTTTTTTTTTCCGACTGGTTTGCTAGCATTTAAACTTTTCTGTCCACTTAGGTAGGATACACATATTTGACAGTTTATCATGTCAGATACATATTTCGGCCCTGGAACTGTGGATAATGTCAAGTGCTACCTGTGGGCATCGGAATCAGAGGTGCACTTTCTCTGACCTTTTGCATGAGTAGGGCTGTGGTAGTTTCATAGATGATGCATCACCCATTATTGTCCCTTCTTGGTGTTTGTACTTGCTTGAAGTTGCTGTTATAACTCATGATGTACTGACAATTCCCACAAATATGCTACATTAAGTAATCTTCACTCGTTTTGATCCCAACAGGAAGATGTGGATGCAGTTTTTGTCAATGCGATTCTCTCTGGAATCCAACAGAGAAACTTGGAGGCAAGTGCCATTCTCTCTCTCCCTCTTTTTCCTCGCACGTGCCCATGTTTCCCCTTTGTGTTGAAAGTTTGCAATAACCTTGCATTTGACTTAGTGATCCAGAATAACATACTGCCTTATTGTTTGTGTTAACACCTTGCTTAGCAGGTTGCCTGGGGAAAGCCAGTTTTGGATCGTGTTGGGCTTATAATTGAAATATTCAATGCTCACGCTGAAACAAAAGAAGCAAAGTTACAGGTGTTTGTTTGCCTAGATATTGGACTATATGTTACTATGTCAAATATTTGTGAGGGTGGGTATATGGGGTATGTGGGTCTTCGTTTGACACACTGTATTGATAAAATGGCCAGGCATTGGTATTTGTTTAAGTATTTTACTTTGTCCGTCACTTTACACAGTCAGAGTTGGCAGCTCTCATGTACATGAAGACTAGGCTTGTTCGTGTACCTGGCCCAGGTGGACGACTAACTTTTGGTCCAAGTGGGGAGGCTGAGGTTGTCAGTGCAAGAGGGTAAATTTCTTTTCTGTTGCATTTAATAACTGTGGATAGTAATTTGTTTGATTTTATGAATTTACACATGCCTTGTGTGTGTGTGGGGGGGGGGGGGATGTACGGAGCGGGAGATACTGTGTTCATGTAACTACAGCTGATTTCAATGCGAAAGATATCAAATTCTTGATAGTTTCAAACATTATGAATTCTGTTTAGAAGGTTTGGAAATGAGGGTTCAGGTTGTAAGGCATCATTAGAGAAGAATGGAGGGAGTATCCTCAATTTGCATATGTTTAGTTGGTATGGCTTCATTATGAAGTAGCTCATGAACTTGTGGGCATAATGCCAACCTAGATGCACAGATGTCTTTGGAAGAAAAAGTATTTACATTAGATATGCATATCATTCTTATGTTCGTATCTGTAATTGCTAGTTAAGTAATGCTATATCCATGTGGTGACATGAGTTATGACAAAATCCAACTCTGTGTAGCTCTTAATGTCATGCTTGTTGAATTTTAACTTGTTTTATTTGTTATACTTTAGATTGAGTTGTACTGGATGCACATAGGAAAAACCCACGAAGTATTGTAAATAAAACAAAAACAAAGTGAGAATACATACATTTCTTTCCTTGATTTCTACAGTAGTTTAATTAATGTTTTGCCCTGGTTAGCATGCTATCTTGGACAGTGTCTGTTATTACATGACATTTTTTGTACAATTGACAATTTCACATAATTTTGGTATAGTCAGGAGGATCCACATAATATCTTCTGCAATATTATATTGATCTGTAATACTAATACATTATTTTTATAACTGTTATTATTCTATTCTATTCTACTTTCCTGAATTGGTCTCATAATAGGTTGATCAATTTATTTGAAGTGATGATCCATTCGTTTTTTGACACATCATTTGTTTGATTATTGTTAGATCATTGGATGCAATGCTCATGTTGCTGTTGTATTGTTCAGGAGAGGTAGTGGGGGGAGGGGATTCATGAGTGGTGCTGGTGAAACAGAACTTCAACTACAACGGAGGAGGTGCTTGACAGTTGATAGATGATAAAAGTTATCTAAAGTTGCAGCTCACAACAATTTCTCATTTTACTTTACCCACAACTCTTCCAGAATCCAAGAACGCCGTGTGAGCTTGTTAGCTCAAATCGAAGATGTACGCCGTACTAGAGCGATACAACGTTCAAGTCGGAAAAGACATGGTGGCTCGTTTGGTCAAGAGCTTGTAACTGTTGCAGTCGTCGGATATACAAATGCTGTAAGCAGATCCACTAAAATAGTTTCTTTTAACATATGTGTCTTTGACAACTACTAACTATATTCCTTCAGATCACCGTGCAAAATGTACTTGAGCTTTCTACAAATTAAATCTTGTACTTAGTCTAGTTCTTTGATGTTCTTTTCATAGGGCAAATCTACGCTTGTGAGTGCACTTTCTGAAGCTGATCTGTACAGTGATGACAGGTATGCTGAAATTAGCTTCTACTTGTATTCACTTGCAGCAGCTATGACCAGAGAAATCATGCTCCTATTTTGCTTCAGGCTGTTTGCAACAGTAGATCCCCGGTTACGAAGTGTGATTCTTCCATCAGGGTAATGTAGAAAATATGCTATCATATATTGGTAAAGCTGATTAGGGTTTGCACTGGTTTAGCCCATGACATTGCATTTGTCTATTCAGGAGAAAAGCACTTCTTAGTGATACCGTTGGCTTCATCTCAGATTTACCAGTACAGGTAAGTTTTCTCTTGCGCTTGAATATTGGAGATCCATTTTGAAAATTAAGTTTTTTTAGGTGTAGTTTATCTTTTTTTTATTTTGCAATTTGTACTATAATCTTGTAGGCAACAGAGTAGGTAAAAATAGTGTTACTCAGACACCTGTCACCTGTGTCCTAATTTTCTTTTTTGCTGAGTCGGACAGCTTACACAAGTGTCAGATTCCAAGAGATATTTAGCATGTCCCCATAAGATTTGCCGAATTGGACAGCCAAACCCGAGTTGAACACTTCAACCCGAAGTCCGAACTGGGGTCCATTTAAGATTTGGAGGTAGCAAATGGTCCATTGGGTTGCTTCCTCAGCCATTTCTAAAACCAATATTCACACTATTATTAGTTTTAAACATTCATGATTTTAATATGAAGGGCGGGCCTGGTGCAAGCGGTAGAGTCTTACCGCCTGTGACCGGAAGGTCCTGGGTTCGAGTCGCGGTCTCCTCGCATTGCACAAGCGAGGGTAAGGCTTGCCACTGACACCCTTCCCCAGACCCCGCACAGAGCGGGAGCTCTCTACACTGGGTACGCCCCCTTTTTATTCATGATTTTAATATATGGTTGAATCCAATTTCAAGTAATAAAACTATAGAAGTCTGGTCTTTTTAAGGAATATTTAGTTTCCTTTTACATGGCTATCAAGGCATTGCCTAGGTGCTGCTTTGGCATTGATGGTAGGCGATCATTTTATGGCTGCATTGCATGGAGAAGGAGGTGGAGTTAAGTATGTAGAGCTCCCCGCAAATAGCTTGGCACGCCTCCTATGGACCTGAAAACAATGCAGCTCCTGCTGTTGGGATTCATGGCAAAGAAAGGAGAGACAGGAGGGAGGAGCGAAGAGGTGGCAGAAGAGGGGGTGAGCCCTAATGCACTGTTCATGGCTCATGTAGAACCAAGTGGGCCATAACTGAATCATGTAGAACCCTTCCTTTAATTCCTTTTCTCCCTGCTCTTCTTCCTTCTGGCAGCCTCATACTCTTCCATTTGTCTACTGCTACCACCTCATCCACTTCAACATTGCTGCTGGCGCCGCTGCTGCCTCCTCAACGCTATCTTTTTCTCATCCTACTCATCCACCTCTGCCACTTTACACTTTATGTCTTCCCTTTTCCCTCTCAGAGGATGGGATGTTGCTTCATTGTGTTGATGCCTATACATTAAGATAGCAAGCAGGCTTTGTTTGACACTAACTGCAACAGACAACGTCCTTCCAATAAAGATAGGAAAAATGAAATTTCATTTTTTTATGTCATCTGTAAATTACTCTATGTCAATTGTCAAGGTTATTGTTAACCTCTTTATTTTGTTTTTTTCCCAGCTAGTGGAAGCATTTCATGCGACCCTAGAAGAAGTCGTTGAAGCAGACATGTTAGTGGTAGGTTTTGTTACTTTTCTTCTCCTGGAAGTCTGGAGTTGAACATGACTTATGATGTACTTTCGATTTCCTTATTTAGCAACAAAATTTTCTTCAGCCATGTGTGTTTTACTTATCAGATGCTGCTCTAGTTGTAAGATATAAAAGTGTTTAGTGAATAAGAGAAAAGGGCTAAGGCCTCGCTTTATCTTATACACATTGGTGCAGCATGTGTTGGATTCAAGCGCATCTAATCTTGAAGAGCATCGATCTACAGTATTGCAAGTACTGCAGCAGATAGGCGTTTCTCAGGAGAAGATCAACAGTATGATTGAAGTTTGGAACAAGGTACCTACTGAGACTTGAGTTTTTTTTTTCTTGGCATTTGGCAATAGATTGTTGGTTTTCATTATATATTTTTTCTATTGGGGCATTCCAGATTGATCTTGTGGACGAGAATGTTACATCTGATGGGATTGAAGATGAAATCTTCCTGACCGAAGGTGAAGAGGAGGATGACATATTCTCTGAAGATGATGTTCCATCAGAACAATCATCTTTTGATTCTGTAGATGATGGAGCAGATTCAGAATATTTATCAGAAGAAAATTCTGAAGATAGCAATGATGAAGTGTCATCTAAAGAGTCATTTGCTGAGCTAACCGAGATGGAGGCAACGAAAGAGTTATCATCAAAAGAATGTTTTGGAGAACTTCGTGTCCCAGATACAAATGGATGCACTTTGCCACAACCAACTTCCGCTTGTCATGTAAAAACTTCTGCTGTGACAGGGACAGGATTGCAAGAGTTGCTGGCATTGATAGATAGGAAACTGACTGAACAACAAAATGTTGTGCAAAGAAGCTATGGACCTTTCGACAGAAAATGGAGACCTAGCTCTATGGATGGTGAAAAGGCTGCAGAGCAGTAGGTATGCAATACCTCCTTACTTCCCCTCTTCTATATGCTGCTGAGATCAGTAGCAGTATAGCAATCAGTTTCTGAGTTTGCACCCGTAGAGATTGAAACTACGCAGTGTGTTGTATATGCGTTTGTGCATGATGTATGATGTATCATCCAAAGAGTAACTTGATATTCTTTCTGCAGAACTTTTGCATCAGAAAAATTGAAGATACTGTAGGAAGGGACCGTGTGGATTTTGATCAATGTGAGTCACTTTAACAGACCTTTTGTACTCATGCTTACTGTTGCTAGATACTAGCATCTTATATTCTGATAGGTATGTTGTATTTATGCTTATCATAATATTGGCAAATACGTGCTGAAAGGGAAAAAATTGGAATTGAGGACATTAAACATCATTTGTTCTAATCGATTTTCTGTACCTTTATTCTGGTCGCATGGTGGGTCTAAGAGCAAGCCCAATAATAGAGCCAAATTTTTTTTGTTATAAGTCAACTTATAAGAGTCAAACTATATAATAGTTATCTTCTACTCTCTCTGTTCCAACACATCCACACCTTTTTTCCTATTCCTTCTCACATCCGTTTCGTATTTTGGTCTACCATTGCATACGCTCCCATGCCTAACTTTGTGCTTGTATGAAATCCAAATTCTCTCTCTCTCTCTCTCTTTTTTTCCTTGAAGTGTGGATTGATAAGAGGGTGTCTATGTGTGCCACTGGAGGGACCGTTCCCTGGATATGTGGTCATGCGTTAGTGCGTGGTACATCTGGCCTTTTTTTTGTCCAAAGGTGTTCATTAAAACGCTAAAAAAAATACAGTGATCCGTATATCACTACGTATCACTATACTCCATGATTAGGTCTATGTCTATGCTAAAAAATAGCAGTCATTGTTTCTTGCCACTCAGCCAACCAGATTCGCGCAAGCATGTTTTGTCGTAATTTGGCAACGTACTTTTAACATCGATACCTTTTCCTCTCAATTTTGGCAGATTTAGTGAAAGGAAGCCTTGAAGATGTCAGGGTTGATAAGTATGTCAGGGACTCAGGATTGACCGGAGTTACAAAGATAAAAGAAGGGAACACTAATAGATCAATTCTAAAGGTGAACTACCATTATCCGGATATGCGGAACAGTAGGTCCCGATTGTGTTGTGCGAGAGACAGACTCTGTTCTTTAACGATACTCTGCAACAAGGAGACACCACAAGGCTCTATAGACTGAAAATTTCCCCTTTGATTGTACAAGTATGTTACACTATAGAGAAAAGGAAGATTGTATACTGTGTTTCTCTTCGCTACACTAACCTTTTGACAAATTTGTTGTTTCATTTGCTTAATAGGTGTCTTCTCAAACGAATAGACAACAAGCCCTTTAAACCAAAATACATGAACGTGGAATTCATTCCTCAGTGAAACTCAAATGACATGTATTTGTCATCCCATTACTTGGCCACACGAGGGAAACCATTGGCCCACCACTTTACTTTATTTTGCTAGAAAATGAGATTATTCTTTCCTTAAACCCCTGGTTCCAATGAGTTCAAGATTCAGATGTGCTGCTGCTGTTGGAATAGGTTTCCTTGTTGGAAATGAAATTATTGATAGATAGGATCATAGGGGGGAGAATATGGTTCCTTTGAGAGATTATTGACAGACGAAGGGAAGGTTTAAAAAAAAACAGACGAAGGGAATAAAAAGGAAAAAATAAAAGAAAGGAACACTAATAGTCTAATGAGTTCAAGATTCAGATATCCTGCTGCTGTTGGAATAGGCTTTCCATGTTGGAAATGAAGTTATTGATAGATAGGAGGGGAAACAAAAAAAACGGAGCGGCTAGCGTCTGGACGTCTGGATGCTGCTGTCACGCCCACGGCCGACGCACGTTCAACACACGCCCCGCGCTCGACACACGTCCCTTGCCCATCCCCGTTCCGGAGGCAACGTCCGTCCGGACGGAGCTTCCCGCGCCTGCGCCCCACGCACACAACTGGAGGCCCGCGTCCCATCCCGCCCGATGCGCTGCGCCCGTGCCCATACATCTCCACATCCGAGCCGATCCTCCGTGGCATCCCGTCCCCATCACTCTCATGTCCGTGGCCTCCATCTTCGCCACACAGGGAGTCGTAGTAGCTGGACCACCGAGGGCTTAGGCTTCCTCCACACCTACATACAGATTTACTTTTACAACACTCAGATGAAACAATTACAACATACGTCTTAAACAGATGAAAACATTCAGAACATACACTTACAACATAGTCATTTGCAATATATGCAATATCCAGATAAACACTTGCAACATATGTCCGAAATCAGATGAGACACTCGAAACATGCACTTGAAACATGCGTGAATAGCCTATGCAACATCCAAATCTACTTTTGCAACATCCAGATAAAAGACTCGCAACATAATAGTAAGTCTAAAAACATCTGAAACATTTGAAACATACGCTTGAAACATGCGTGTAGTCATAGCAACATTCAGATGAAACACTTGAAATATAGGCTTGCAACATTCTAAAAACATCTAAAACACTTGAAAACACAACGTCGCCAGCGGTCGTGGCCTACCTGGTGGGAAACCTGCGGTGACGCAGGCCTCCCCTTCCTGGCGATGGTGTGAGGTGGATGGGGGAGCAGGCCTCCCTTGCCTCCCCTTCAGCGATGAGCGAGGTGATGAGGGTGCGGGCGGGAGCGAGCAATAGTGTGCAGAGCGATCTGTCTGGACGGGGCGGCGCTCGTGGCGTATCATTAGCAAAAAAATGATTTCCTTGTTGGAAATGAAATTATTGACATACGAGGGAAACAAATAAATAAAAAAATAAAATAAAAGAAGAGGACACAAATAGAAAGGAGAAAAAAAAGAAAGCAAGAAAATGTTTGGAAATTAGATTATTGACAGCCAAGGGAAAACAAATAAAAAAAAAGAAGGGGATACAAATAGAAAGGAGAAAACAAAATGTTTGGAAATGAGATTATTGACAAAGGGAAACAAATAAAAAATAAAAAAATTTAAAAGAAGGGAACGCAAATAGAAAGGAGAAAACGAAAAGAAAGCAACAAAATGTGTATTGGAGATGCAGGGTATCGATCCCCGTGCCTCTCGCATGCTAAGCGAGCGCTCTACCATCTGAGCTACATCCCCATGTGCTCAACCGCTAAATAAATGCTTTAATAACTAAGTAATGTTCCATATATACAGGTCTATACAAACCCGAAGCAAGCAGTATCTATCATCTTTTTTAGCGACAACACCATTACCTATAAATAAATTAACGCCCTTAGGTACCATTAGATGCACTAGATGGCCATAGCAGTATATAGCTTTAAAAAAATAGTGGCAACATGAGGCTATGCAGGATAGTCTGAAGTTTTGAACTAAGGGGATCCTCCTACTAAACTTTAGTTGCTATCTCATTGGATGTTTAACATATGCATGAAGTATTAAATATAGAGTAATTACGAAACTTAATTGCATATTTTACGACTAATTTACGAGATGAATCTTTTAAGCCTAATTAGTCCATGATTTGACAATGTGATGCTACAGTAAACATGTTATAATGACGGCTTAATTAGGCTTAATAAATTCGTCTCGTGGAGTACTGATGGATTCTGTAATTTGCTTTTTTATTAGCATCCGAATACCCCATGCGACACCCTTATATGACACCTCTTAAATTTTAATCACTGGATCCAAACATCCCCTGACAAATGAAAGAATTCACTGAACTTTTCCCATGTTAGGAATTTTCCAAGCTGAAAACAGAAACACATGAGTGAAGCGTAGTGTTTTTCTCTCACAACAAATCAGCTGAACAGTACTTTTCAGCCTGACTTTTCAGCGAAGTGAACAGTGCCTTAATGGCTCTAATTCCCTTGGATATATTCTGAGAAAATAATAGCTTACTTTCTAAGCCATTTGAAGTGATAAAAAATTAATTAACATAAATAACACCAAACACTTCCAAATTTCAAGGCACTAGCCCACTAGGCACCCTGCAACTAGAGTAGGAGAGCCAAAGTTCTAGCGGAACTTAAAATCAAGTACGTTATAAGTCGTCACCTTCCTTCTCAGCCATGTGCTTTGACTGCCTCATCGTGCATGTCCAAGCAAAATGCAATCCCTGGAGTTGAGAGCTATCTGTGGCTCTTTTGTCGGGCAAACACCACCAGTCTTCTTAGACACCGTCCAACTGTTGGCATGATCAATGGTGGCATCAATCGCCCCATCCCTGATGTCTTTAAAGGGTTGTTTGGTTCTTTAGTCGTTTCTAAAATTTATGTCACATCAAATATTTAGATACTAATAAAAAACATTAAATATAGATCAATTATAAAACTAATTACATAGATGAAGATTAATTTGTGAGATGATTTTTAAACCTAATTAGTCTATCATTAGCACATGTTTACTGTAGCACCACGTTGTCAAATTATGGACTAATTAGCCTTAAAAGATTTGTCTCGCAAATTAGTCGCAAGTTGTGCAATTAGTTTCGTAATTAGTCTATATTTAATACTCCATGCATGTGTCTAAACATTCGATGTGACATGAATTTTAGGAGTCACTGCCAAAGTTCAGCAGAGGCGCTAGGCGGAATCTAGGCGCTGACCCATTGCCTAGCGCCTAGTCAAGAGTACTCGGTCATAGGCGCTCCTAAGCATTTTCCTATGTGTTTTGGCAATATAGCCATAAATTATATATATATTATGTATATAACTATATATATATATATATATGTATATAACTACTATATATGACTATATGAGTCACAGTAACGAGTAAGTAGAAAAAGAGGGCCAGTAGACATATCTGATTCCTAGCTGGCTTACTCTTGCTTTCTTGCATGTTCCTAGCTCCTGCCTCTCTGCAACACATTCTGACAGCTAGTAGTTAGTAAATTAGTCAAATGACAGCTAGCTGGTCATCCAAAAAAATAGAAAACACTAAGTTGTGACTTATCTGGATGATTTCAATAGCCTCCCATCCATGAGCACACCATATCAGCAGCTGGTAATTACAATACAAGTGGATAGGACAGTAATACAAGTGCACAACACAATTTATAAATAAAGGACATCACAAGCACATAGTTCTTAGTTCAGGTCTCACAAATCACAAAAGAAGACACAGACACAAAGTGACACAACTGCAGTTCATATTTCTTCTTCACTGTAGTTCACATCCTCATCGTCATACTCTTCTTCTTCAGACTCAAATTCTTCTCCTTCATAGAGCTCCCTCACTCTTGCACTTCTACGCAGCAAGCTGTTCATCTGCTCCCACTGTCTCTCCAATGACAGACCAAGGTATCCCGGTACCTTCCATCTCATCTTTCTCCCCATCTCTAAAGTCAGCTAATGCACAATCATCCCCACCCTCTTGGAGAAAACCTTGAGCTTCAGTTGTATCACTAGACAAGAGAACATCATTGATTTTGTTTGACTTGATCTTTTCTCTCTTACTAAGCAGCTTGGAGTTGAATTGGATATACACCAGCTTGTTGAGGCGGGTTGTAGTAAGCCTATTCCTCTTCTTAGTGTGTATCTACAATTTAAAAAGAGCATTATCAGTTCTACAATTTAATTGTAATGCTGCTGAAAGCCTGAAACAGAAATGTTCATAATAGATAGGTAGTTAGGTACTAACCCCTTCAAACCCACTCTAATTTCTTTCACAACCAGAAGAGCTTGATGTCAAAGATAGGATCCTTGTAGCCATCTTCTGTAAAGCTGGTGTTTCATATCCATACAGTCTCCACCATGATGCTGAAATAAAAAAACACCTCTATTAGTTTAGAAAACAGCAAACAACAAACAACCATGATCCATGCAAGCTTATAGGAAGTACCTCTACCTGGGTTGTAATCAAAGTTTTCAAAATTCTTAGCAAGCTTCTTGCTAAAGGGTCCTTCTCTATTCTGAAACTTCTTTAGTTCAATGTTGGTAGCCTGATGCTGCATGTCCTCATTATGATAATAAAATTTCTCAACACAAGCTATAAACCCTTCTGATATTTTGGGCTGATCAAAGATTGATGGGTCACTATAGCTATAGTGAGGATTCAGCAAATAGGCTGTCAAATGCAATGGAGAATCAAGTCTTCCATTCATCTTCTTGTCAATAACAGCTATTACATCCTTGAACCGAGCCTCAACATTTCCAAAGGCCTCTTTGATCTGTCTCTTTGCCTTTAGTAGTTCTCCATAAAGGAAACCCATAGATGGCCTCACATCCCTATCAACCAAACGGAGGACTTTGACCAATGGCTCAAAAACAATCAATGTTAGTTTCACATCCTTCCAAAAGCTTAGACTCAATATAGTTGCTGTTGCCTCTTTTCTTTTCTTTGATTTCACATCCTTCAATGAGTCCCACCTACTATGAACCACCATCTTCCTTAACTGGTCCTTCTTCTCTTGCATGCTACTCAAAGTGAGAAAGTTTGAAGCAAACCTAGTCACTCCTGGCCTCACTGCCTTTTTCCCCTCTGTGAAGTATCTCAAGCACTCCAATGCCCTTGTGTGGCCATAGACAAATATGGTAAATGTCTTTGCTTGGTCAACCACTTTCTTAAACCGAGTCATGTTGCCAATTCCTTGGAGCATAAGGTTGATTGTGTGAGCTGCACAAGAGGTCCAAAATATGTGTGGTCTCTTCTCTTCTAATAGTCTCTTTGCTCCCATGTTGTTAGAGGCATTGTCAGTCACTACTTGCACCACATTGTCTGGACCAATCTCTTCAATTGCTTTGTCCACAAGATCAAAGATGACCTCACTGGTATGTGAGACATGTGACATCTCCATAGAGCTGATGAAGGAGGTTCCATCAGCACAATTGGTGCATAGATTCAGTATGCTTCTCCTCTTTCTATCTGACCAAGCATCAGTCATAATAGAACATCCATTTTTCATCTTCTCGGCTTCATGCTCCTGCAGCAAACTCTTAGTTCTTTCATATCCTTCTTCCAGCAACTTTCCTCGCAGTGCATCCTGAGTTGGAGGTACAAGTCCTGGACCAAACTATCCAATTGCTTCGCACATTTGCTTGAACTCATCATTATCACATGCATTGAAAGCAATTCCTGCCAACACAACATTGAAAGAAGCATAATTAGTGTTCAGTATAGGAAAACAACATCTAATGAACTTTGAAATGTAAAAACAGCATAGTATACTAGCAATTTACCATGTGTATAGGCCCATCTTGCAATGTACTTATGCACCTCATTGATTCTTTCTTTCCAAAGTTCCTTGTTCAGCTGTTGTTGCTTCAAAGAATCAGACTTGGTAGCTTTAGGATCAATAGCACGTGTCCATTTGTCAATGGGTCCTAATTTGTGGGGCTCTGAACTTCCAACACATGTAACTTCATCTGAATCTATTCTAACCCTAGATACATGAACTTCCCCTCTAATTTCTAGCTCACGGACAGTCTTCTCCTTCCTCTTCCTTTTTGCATCAGCTAGTGCCTTCTTGCACTTCTCTTTAGCCTCCATAGCCTGTGGTGTTCTTGCTGTGCATTTCTTCACATTCTTTCCTTCATGAGCCAAATGCTCCTTCAACCTATGAATCCCTCCTCTAATCTCCTTGTCACAGAGCTTGCACTTCACCTTGTCCTTGTTGCTAGCATCAACAAGAACACCATAGTCCCATCCATAGTCCCATCCAACATCATCTGAGTTCCTTTTTAGGAGATCAGTTGCCTTAGTGCCTGTTGCATCTGGTGCAGAAACACCTTGTTCTGTCGACATCCTACAATCAACTGTGAAGAAAATGACAGAGCAGTCATCAGATGGAATACCAGGGGCAGAGCCAATTGCATCACTTACAAAGAGCACTGATCACAACAATCTGTCAAGTTTTGCTCTCCAGGTCTGTTTTCAGTGTTGTCTGATTACTTAATGGTTACTATTACTTGTAAGTTGTAACAAGGCTGCACAAGATGTTTAATGGTTACTATTACTTATGAAGCATGTGCCTCTTACCATGCCAACTTCAATCATACAGTCAGTGGAACAGCAGCATCACTATAGCAGTAGAGTTATGAAGGAACTTTGTCATTCACCAACTCACAATTGCAGCATGTTTTGTAGAATGAACACATCCTTGCAAAGGTACAAGTCTTAATAGAAGCTTTTGCTTAATGACTTCAGGTGAATAACAGTTTTTACAGTAAACTTTTGTTGATTATTCACCTTTCGCAAATCAATTCTTAATTTCAACAGATCAGCATGTTTCATAGACATGGAATGGAGAAGATCTACCTCCCACCTGATACTAAAGCTATTAGGGATATCTGTGTACTGCCTGGGGGTTATGTTGTTTTTGCATCACTGGCCAGCAAGTTGTCTCTTTTCAGGTTTGTAAAGAAAGAGAGCATGCAGGGGAGATGAGTAGGGGAGGAGCTGCCGGCATGGGAGGGGAGAGGAGCATGGGAGGGAATGGAGCTCACCTTGGGGACTTGGGGTGGCCGGCGGGGAGGGGTTCCAGTCGAGGATGAGCAGGACGGCGGTCGAGTCGAAGAGGAGCAGAGACGGCAGGGCGAGGGGGACGAGGGGGGAGGAGGAGGAGCAGAGGAGGAGCAGGACCAAGCGGGAGGAGGGATCAAGGGGAGGCGGGAGGAGCAGGGGAGGAGCAGAGGAGGAATAGGGGAGGAGCAGGACCGGCGGGAGCAGAGGAGCAGGGGAGGAGCAGAGGACGAGTTGGGGACGAGCTTGGACGAGTAGGACCGGCGGGAGGAGCAGGCCGCGCTCCCTTCTAATCCTCCTACGCCTGGGTCTCGTGGCCGCACGCGGGCCTGGCCGTGCGGGAATTCCTCCCGCGCTCCGATTTGGTGCGCCAAACTCGAGCTAGCGCTCTTCTCGCGCGCCTATGCCCCTAGTCGCGGCGACGGGCTTCGCCCAGCGACTAGGCGCGCGTAGTCGCCGACTAGTCACCGCCTAGCCAAACTTTGGTCACTGCAGTAACCAAACAGGGCCTTATCATGCTTTCAGCGTCAGCAACAGGGTTCTCGGAGTCCAACATCAGCCTTTTGGCAATATCAGCAAAGAAAATCTTTTAGTACGAGATGCTGATGTTCCGCAATCCAGTGTGGACGTGTGGTTAACACCGATGCAGCCTCACAATCAAACTGCAGGTCCTGTTACAGCACGTTCAACGCAGGCATACAGTGTTGGCGGTCTCAGCTGAGAGAAGATGCCACGTACTCCTAAACCTCTATCGAAGTACCAAGCCTACAACGCCAAACAGCTTCGAAAGAAAACCAAAAGATGCTGCCTCAGCAAAAGAAAGAACAGATGTCCAGACATAACAGCTTTATCTCACCATCTCTCTCAGGCCTGGTTTAAACTGAAGGGTGTAAAGTTTTGAGGTGTTACATTGGATGTTACATGAGGATGTTGCATAGGGTATTTGAATACTAATAAAAAACAAATTATAGAATCGGTCCGTAATGCACGAGACAAATTTATTAAGCCTAATTAATCCATCATTAGCACATGTGTTACGGTAGCACCGTATTATCAAATCATGGACTAATTAGGCTTAAAATATCCGTCTCTCAAATTAGTCACAAATTGTACAATTAATTATTTTTTAGTCTATATTTAATACTCTATATATATGTGTCAATTATTCAATAAGATAGAGAGTAAATTTTAGGAGGAAGAAAACAAGGCTTAAGACAATATCACCCTCTGCCAGAACTACTGGCGTGCTGCAAGCCACTGCTTTTTCTTTCTCTTTCCTCCAGCCGAGCTTTGCTCCGACGTGGCGTGATGAAACCACTATCCTGGCTGGAGCGTTGGGCGTGGCCTTAGCCCTGAAAGCGCTCAATTCATCTGAAAGAGATCTGAATAACTCATCACCAACTCAAACAGCCTAAACATGATACACGAAAAATAATCAGCAGTGCAGTAGTTGCCAATGTGGAGCATTTCTACATAAAGAAAATTTGCATTTGCATTATGTCGCCAGCTCAAATTATTTCTGCATGAAAGCAGCCTTCTCTTCTTTTCTGACAGGAGGCTTACATGAAAAGTTCTCCTTCTGCTAGGAGGCAATGAAAACATGAAATATGAAATCCTTGAGCCGAAATGGGTGCCTTCTGGGCAGTTTGCAAGACGCTTCCTTTAGCATCAGTGTACTCCGATAGAAAAGATACAGATCATCCTGGTGTAAAGTTTCCATCCAATGAAACACTAGGAGAGGTTAGTCAAGCAACAAATGCATTTAAATCAGAATAAGATAAAAAAAAAGCAATCTAGCTTAGCAGGGGTTGTAAACATACATTTAAAAAATGGTCTGAAAAGGGAACGAGCGAGTCACTCATTTGGTCAGCATCGCGAGCCGCGAGCTCGACCACCCGGGTTCAAATCCGGTGCCTAGCGTATTTCCGCTCAAAATGAGGGAGGATTGGGAAGAAGCTCCCGGTTAAAAAAAAAAGGGTGTGAATATCACACTAACCAGCCAAGCCTAGAAGCCAGCGTATCAACAATGTGGAGGGAAACCCAAGACGGGCTAGCCCCTAAGAGCGTCCACAGTGTGTCGAACCGGCCCTAGGTCTTAGCTGGGTCCCACAAGCGATTAGACGTCATCTGTTAATACTGGCACAATGTATGGAACCGGGGATGACTCCATACATGGGCCCCACGTTAACAGAAAAATCAATCGATCCCCACCCTTTACTCCCACGATGCTGGGCACGCAAGATGCTAGGCACCGCCGCCCCCTCCACCTGCTAGCTATGGCTTGTCATCCTCTTCTCCTTGTGTAGCAGAGCTATGGCGCTCCTCCCTCCTAGCACGGCTGCGCCTCCACCTCCCTCCTCCGTTTCCTCCTCCCTAGAACCTCGTCCTCCCTCCTCTAGCTTCTTCCTCACCAGATCTAACGGAGCTTCATGGATGTGTCCCAGAGCTGTCGTCGTCTCCCCGTTGTCCGCATCTCAGAGCCCGCCGCCGCCTCGAGGTCCTTCAACTCTGGCGCCGGCCATGGGCCTACGCCCAGATCTAAGGGCCGGGAGGCGCAACGATGGGGCCATGGGGGCCATGGTGACTGGGACAGAGAGAGGGGTTCTGGCCAAGGACGGGGGCGGCTTCCAGGACGGCGGCGCCGACATCGGTGGACGACAATACCGACGACGATGATTTCCTCTCTTCAGCGGGAGCAGCAACGGCAGGGAAGAGAAGAAGGGTGAGAAAGGTAGCGTGATTTCCTTATTTCTTCGAGCTAGGTTCCATTCAATGGAACGAGTCCTTCGTAGAATCGGCCTCGCAGTGTATGGGAGCGGATTTGATCTTCCCATTTATTGTAGGGTTTTTTGGATTGGTGCCATTACAATTATTGAAGATCTGAAATATACCATTACTATTCGTCTATCCGGAAGCGTGCCATTACAATTTTGACATACTCTGAAATATGCCATTCTATACGCGAGACAAACGTTTGGGCCCGCTTGCAGGCTTACGTGGCATACGGTTGACCGTATCCGTCCATCTCCCGTCTTCATCTAAACGGCGCGGTGAATATCGCCGTCTTCCCCTCTCTGTCACTCTCGCTCTCTCTGTCTCTCCCCAAACCAAGAACCCTAACGAGGCGCTGGTGGCGGTGACTCCGGCGGCGGTGGTGGCGACGAACCCGATGGCGACGCAGCAGGCCAAGGAGACGATGCAAGGGGGTCCAGATGAGCTCGAGCTCCATTGCTGCTGGCAGCAGAAGGACACTACCCCCTACTAGACTACCCTGATTGCCATGTTCCTCTCATCCAAATCGTGAGCAAGCAAGAGCACTCGATGAATGAGTCGTTCGTCAAGTGCCCCAATAGCGTAAAGGTAAGCATTTGCAGTGTTTATTGAATCTTCATGATTTGGTTTCAATTTGAAGGATTTTGGGTTTTGCGGGGTGATCCAACAACCTATAGCTGGATCCATTCGGAGGAGCAGTACGAGGCCTGGTTTCAGAAGCAAGCAAAGGAGAAGCAGATGCACCTCCAGTCGCCCCTTGATTCATTTGGTGGAGATGTTATTTGTGATTTGAAGTAGCAACTTGGCGACGTGAAGCAAATACTGGACAATGTAGTCTCTGAACTTTGGAAATTGAAGATGAAAATTGGAGATAGACCTACAGTTGATCATAGTCTAGTTAGTGATCCTAGCTGAATCAGTAATGGAAGGGAGGAATTGGGTAATAGGAAAATGCATATTGTGATGGATGTATGTGTTGTGGTATGTGTCCTTGTTGATCTACTACTAGGTGTAGTTGTTGCCCAGATGATGAAGTGACTGTAATGTAGTTTCTTTGTACTAACAATGAATGAAAATGGATGGATGAATGTTGCCCAAATTTGTTTCTTTGTTGCCTGAATTTGATGAGCAGTGTGCTATGCATTTCTATATGAAATTAGGAAAAAATTCGAGCAACATCTTGTGTTGATTTTTGAAACATTTTAATGCCCAGATGGCATGTGGCAGGAGAGTAGCAAACACATGTCCAGATAACAGCTATGACAATAGAATATAGTGGAAATAGCATTTCATAACCAAGTTTGCATTGAATATCCATACAAAGTAGACTAACAACAACAGATGAGAAAGTTGGCAAGTTCAAGTGCCACATTATAGACTACAATTCACTAGCATGACACATAAGTGGCACATTACATATTGTTCACTAGTAGGCCACGTTACAGACTACAGTTCACTAGCAGGCTTCATTACAGACTGATCAAAAGCAGGCCACATTATAAACTACAGTA